GACGGCCCTGTTTTGAATAATAAGCTCACCAATAAATATCTCAGGTAACCCAATTCCCTAATTTCACTAATACGCTTCACCTATTTTTTTTTTGTAAAGACAGTTCAGTTATGTTTTATTGAAAAAGTATTGATATTCTCGGCCAGTGCCCTCGATATCCACATGAACCCTAGATTCGAAGAGAGAATCCACATAAAATGTCATAGTAACCGAATTTCTTACATTTTACGTTCACCACCTTCCGCTTCGACCTCCAAAGAATGTACTTAAAATAGGCTTAAATAAATGTAAACATTGCCACAAGCGTACGTGTCGTAATCGATTTCCGATTTCCAAATGTCGTGGGTAACGACGTAATTCTCTCATGTGCACGTTCACGCATGGATTTGAGTTTACGTCACTTGCGTGAACCACAATCTTGGAATTACATGGGTTTACGCATCTTACCGTCTATAATCTCTTGTAATCCATGTACATATGGGATTTGTTATATTTATTCGACTTAAGAAAGCGGTAGATGGCTCCCAAGAGACACGAGAGAGAGAGAGTGAGAAAAACGAACTTGTTGTCAAAGTAGAGAGCGATTCTTAAATACAGGCTTTCCATAAAGTCCCTTTGTAACAATGTAAACCTTATAATGGAGTCAGTTCTCAATATATCTTAACCAGGTTTGGGTACTCATTTAGTATGTGAACCAAGATGGCGGACACCGAAACGTAGTATGTGTACCAGGTTAGGCTATAATTTCAGGTACAAATACTACGGGAGTCACTTGGCTAGTCCCCGAACTTGTAATAAAACTAAAATAAGGGAAATTGGAATATAATTATGACTATACCCTAACCTGGTACACATACTACGTTCCGGTGTCCGCCATCTTGATGCACATACTACGGGAGCGCCCAGGTTTGCTGTTTTTTAATCAATAATTGTATAAGTATTTTTACTCCATTTAATACATCTGTGAGAGCCAAAACAATACATGGTACTCTTATTAGTGAGGCCGTAATCTTGTCGGTTCTGTATTGCCATCCTAATTTGTTTCACTCTTGGTGAGGTGGGGCAGGGGCGTGTCAATTATTTCTGCTGCCCGGGGCGAGTTTGGGAAAATGATGGCCCTTATGCCTAACTTCAAAAATAATTCTGGAGATAAACAAATTATTGATGTTGTTATACATGAGAATGAATAAATTAAAGGTCAAGTGAAATGTTTGTATCATTAATTAAATGATCAAACTACATAACTGAGCAACAAACTCACATGTGCAGACGTATAAGATCGAACTCATTTCTTTACACAAAGCAAGTTACTTGTTTGTATTATTGCGCTAAATCACGCAATGAACAGTCGAGCATATTGGCGGGAAAGGACCTTAAGCCATTGCTAACTCACCCTAACAGCAATCAGTCACACAAGACTACACACGTAAAGTCAGCTTTTACCGAAATAAAAACAAATTGCGAAAAAAATGTGTAATAACGCGAACAATACAGCCTGGTTCTGTGGGCATCGTACTGCCCGAGCCGGCTGCCTCAATGACTATCCTCTAAGCCAGGGGTGGGCAACCTTTAATACACGAAGGCCAGATACAAATGAGTGAAAGAAACCGCGGGCCACAACTTTATTTAACATAGGCTTTCTGGAAATTGCAGGCACAAACGGCATTGTAATTGTAACGTCATATGCATAGATAATAAATTGGACGCAGGTATATGGTTTGTAACGCAAAGGGATTAGAATTACTCGCAAGTGCGAGAATAAACTAAAATCATTTTGCGGGACGCACATCATTCATAACTGTCACTTTTCTGAGGGCCGCAAATTTTTTTCTTGTGGGTCGCATTAGGGCCGCAGGTCGAACACTCCCGATCTAGGTTCTCCCTTGCTACGATGCCAACCTAATTACGTTTGAGCCTACACGTCTAATTCGATATCAAATACTCAAAATTCAGTTTTAATTTTTTGATGAAAAATCAATATCCATCCTGAATGCAAGGTGGCGAACAAAATCTTTTAATTTCATTTATTAAAACGCATGCCAAATGTCATTTTTTAATAAATGTTATTGAATTTGTCCGATGCCAGATCTAGAAATGAAAAGGTCAGAATTTTTTAATGAGTTGAAGTATATAATATAAAAAATAGTAAATTATTGTGCAATGTTAAGGTTATAAACATACACAAAAGGTGAGATAGATTTTTCTTACCGGAATTAGGATTCATACCGGGGAGAGAAAAGCCGATAAGTTCGATTCATCCTATAAATAATTACGTTTCCTATTTCAGTTATTATTTTAAGGTTAATTTTAATTTTTTTTATATTTATTTTTATATAAAATAACTATTTTGAGGGTCTGACAAATGTAAATTCTTCTCTGCTTGGGAAATGTTGGCATAGACTCAATATTATAACCATCATCTTGCGTGTTGTACTCAGTATCGCAAGTGCAGTTTTAAGTATTCTGTGGCGTCTGAAGCTGCCGCAAAACCATGGCGGTATTTCCATACCATGGGCGCTACGGCCAAACCTATGGCGACTGACTTTTTGCTGCCACAAACTAATGACGAGCTGTCGTTACCGCGGCAGAAAATTGAACACTAATGGCAGGTAAAATTTTGCTGTCGTAACCACAGCAGGTGGGCCGTAAAGACAGGGATGTCCCTTATGATGACAAATATTGGGTAAGTTGGAACGTTTTTCTTATGGATACAGTTTTGATGAATTTGGGATTAGGGTTAGGGTTTAAGTAGATATAATTATGCATGAATCTGGTACATTAATTTGTGAATATACCGTTAATACTGTTTAATGAATAATGAAAAGCGCTATAGAACCATGGCAAGAGCTGCCGCGGTTCGTTCGTGGCAGGAGCTGCCATGAAGCGGTAAGAACTGCGCCTCCAGTATGGGACGCGGATCGCTAGACAAGTCGTGTCACAGGTCAACCTAGTCACGAGTTAAATCCAATTATGGGGAAATTCTGAGTCGGGTCACTGCACTTCCGGGTCATTGCACTTACGAGTTACAAATCGAGTTTGAGTCAAAGTAAAGTGTATGAATTTGAATCATATCTCGCCATGACTCGCCGAATACGGGTACTCCCGTAGTATGTGTACCCGGTTAGATTTAGTCCATAATTTTATTCCCATTTTTCTAATTTTAGTTTTATTACAAGTTCGGGGACTGTCAGCATTATCCAAGTGAATTTACTCGATGTCCATAGATTTCAGTCCCTTTACAAAACTTGATGTAAGGTAGGCGAACAAAATTAGCTACCTTCATATTGGTACACACACTTCTGGAGCGCACAAATACGTATTATGGTTCTAATCTATATTATTAGACACCATGCGTTCCGCTAAATTGTTGTTATTGTAGAAGTGATTGTTGGTGTTGTGTTAAAAAATATCTCCGAAACTAACGGGGAAATATTTAATTTAATTTATGGGAACACTGTAATATGAAATATCCGAACACCGCCACACTTGCTCGTCGATCTTTCCAGCAAAGCTGAGGTGCGTACCATCGTTTCCGTATATTTGAGCATTGCTTTCTTGTTTTATTCAATAACTGCTAAATATTAGTTGCTTTTACCTATTCTTTTTAGCAACGACGTTTTCTGCGATTAAATTATGTTTCTTCTCGGCTTCCAAATGTCAATTCAATTAGGACCTTGTGCCTCGCGACAGAATATATTAGATTTGTCTGCAATTTCGTTCAAGATGGAATTTAAAAATATTGAGACGTAATGTCGGAACGGGGTCCGATTGCGGTTGGCATTTTCGAATATCTGATGGTTTTAGAATCGAATCGAATATCGAAATTTTGAAGATATTAGTCTTAATACAACGACAAAATTGTATCAGACATGTTTTTATCGTAATGGATCCTCCATAGACATACATAGAAACTAACACTCAGTCAGTTCGTGGAAAGCTTTGGAACAAGTACCGAACTCACCTATGAGACATTTTTTGTATCGTACTGGGTCTTCCACACACATAAATTAACGAAAACATAGAATCCATCACTCAGTCAGTTTGCGAAAAGCTTTGGAACCACTACCGAAACTTACCATCACCGAAATGGGCCAAGATATGATTTTTTTTGCGAGAATAAGCACTTCGGTCCCATAGAAGATATTGATTATCGATTTCAATCGGTAAGTATGTTGATAGGTATTTGTCTGTTTGTCTGTGTGTTTGTCTGTCTGTTTGTCTGTCTGTTTGCCTGTCTGTTTGTTAGATGCACGCGATATCTCACCAAAGCAAGATTGAATCTGCTCCAGATTTTGCATGTGCATTCATCATATGTCGGACCAGAAGCCTATTGATTTTGGATGAATTATGTCGTATAATCAGCGAGTCATTGATTAATTAGTAATTGGACACAAGGTGTGACTATGGAGTGAGAGCGCTGCTTTGAGGGATCCCCTAACTTTCGATCGATAAGTCTTCGGTCTCTGACCGATATTCTCGTTTTATTACTTATCGATTCTAATCGGTAAGTTTGTTGATAAGTATTTGTCTGTTTGTTTGTTTGTCTGTTAGATACACGCGATCTTCAAATTTTGCATGTGCATTCATCATATCTCGGACCAGGATCCTACTAATTTTGAATGAATTATGTCGTATAATTAGCGAGTTATTAATTAATCAGTGATTGGACACGTGGTGTCGCTATTGAGTCAAAGCGAATGATACACGCGGCAAGATTAATAAGTCGGCGGTCTCCGATGGCTATCTCGTTATTATATTTCTCTGTATCATTCATCTTTATTTTAGTTTCTCCTTCTCAGGGGTTCGCGAAAAAATGTAATGAGTCGTGATGAGAAAAGTTTGAAAAATACTGCGTTAGAATATACAAGGATTTTCGGTGCTCCCGTAGTATGTGCACCAAGATGGCGCACAACCTGAACATAGTAAGTGTACCCGGTTATTGTTCAGGCTGTGCGCCATCTTGGTGCACATACTACGGGAGCACTGGATTTTCTACTTACGATTTCAAACTCTGAAGCTCTTTTCCTCTTCGGCTTGATATGAAGTGGTTGCAGCGTTGGGAGAGACAGGCTTCTTCCGTGCGCCATAGCGACGTCTCGCGGATGTGATATTTTATGGAATATGAAAATATAGCCTTGATGTTAAATATTATTTACGTTCTAAGATCTGTAGAATAAAATAAAACTGAGCTAATGCCTGGAGACAACATTGAAGACTTACCGGAAACGGGGGTCAGAATAAGGAAATGAGGACAGAGTATCCAAATTGAAGGGTTTCAATATAAAAGCGCGAATATTGAAATTGAAAAAAATGCAATTTAAAATGCAGCTTGAAAATACATCAAAAAGCTGTTGTCTAATCCGAGTCGAAAAGACAGTCAACAAAGGTAACAATCTATATAGAGCGGCTACTCAAGGCCAGCTTTCAGAGCGCTACTCAGGATATTCTCTGGTTTTCTATAATGTTCGCAAGTAATTGTATTTAACTAAGGCATTAACCATAAAAAAGTACACGGACTAGCAACGAACTGAAGGGATCGATGCTTGTTATAGCCCGATAACGCAGTATGTATTCAAGCAACTTGCACCAGAGAACCGCTGTCAATAAAACCATTTTCCCGATCTCCCTTTCAATACCAGCTTTAAATTAGCATCAATTTCAAAAATGTACTCCATCTCATTCCGACGGTCGTTTTATGTCATTTTACTATTTCAAACAATCATTTGCGCAAATCTTAGAGGTAACGCTTTTACACAAGCTCCTCATGCTCTTTGATGTGCTTTTACTCTTCTAGCACTTCCAATGGACAGATTAATAAAATAACACACCACCACTACGTATTTGCAAACATTAACAACAGATCATTTTCTTGATCTCTCATTTATCTCTCTCGGGCTTCTGCTATAAACATTAATCTAGACACAAGTTCAGAGACAACGATATATATAGAATGGAAAGGCAGGTCCATATACCGAATCATTTACTCTCAGAGTATCGATCATCCTCCGACCATCTTGTCAGTGAGTACTTGAATATTTTTATTAGAAGTTTTTTCCACGAAATATTTATACTTTTCGCTCCGAACAAGACCTTGTTCAGGCTTCTACTGATACCTATCAACTTGTAAGAAAATACGGTTCCATTACATTCGAACCCACGACAATTGCACTTGCATACTATTGCACCTATGGAAATTTTTTTTACGGATATTTGAACCCATACTAACCCTAACCCATGGATTTTAGCACCCTTATATAGATTGAACCCGCGAATATACGGGTGCAAATGTATGGGTTCAAATGTGCTGTCACCGGAAATACATTTAATTGTAAGGATCTGAACTTTTTCTTTCGGGTCGGCATTGCTTACGCAATTTATTACACCCTAAGTGGGGCGATGGGAACTGAACCGTGCCATAGATGTCTAAGGATGCTAAGTATGAATACTTACAAGTATTCGATTCTTATCTGATTCCTAAATTTTCGATTCCGATTCTCGATTCCGAATATCGATTCCGCGACATATTACCGAGAAAACATACCCACCTTAGCAGTACCATATGAAATCCAACAAGAAAGCGATGTTCAAATATCTGGAGGGACAAAAAGCCCAAAACTAAGTAGTATGTGTATCCAATCTGTAACAAGAGACAAAATCGCAAATAAAAAAACGAATCCCTCAGAACCCCCAGAGATTTTTGAAATAAATAAACGTAAAAGCCTTCTAGCGAAATATATATTATATATATATTATATATAGTAAAGTTTGGGGCGTTGTAGCAACTCAACATAGCAGTAAAGCAGTTCATACATATATGTGAAGGAATTGCCACAAAACTTTACACATTGTTTGCAATCCAAGTTTTACCCTCGAGAATCGATTCCAATGCATCGGAATCGATTCTAGTCGATTCCTCGAAGAATCGGTTCTGTAATCGAATCCGAACTCGATTCCGCCATCCCTATAGATGTCCACCTGAAAGCTCGAAACTAGTAGCCACTGATTAGTATATGTTTCAGAAAGACCGGGATCTTTGACGATTCGGCATTTTCTTCCCAATTTATTACGCGGTGCTCCCGAAGTATGTGTATCAAGATGGCGCACAACCTGAACATAGTACTGTACAAGGCTAGGGTGCAGGTTTTGCGTCATCTTGGTGCACATACTTCCGGAGCGTTCGTTACGCCCTTGGTGAGGTGGTGGGATTCGCCCCGAAGATTCATGTAATCTGCGATGCCAACTTAGTTAAGTCTAACTCACCAATAGTCAAAGTGATACGCAACAATATACAGCTCTGCGAATCCACTACAGGCTTATGCTAAACTTACTAAATAGAAGTACTTACCGCTTTCGACGGACTTTTTTCACTCTTACTAGTACGTAATGGCAATACAGCCCACACATTTGCAGCAATCGACTTTGTTTTACCACTATTTGCCTGATCTCGCTCTTATCTCTGGTCTCCCTATTAGACCTGCACTTACTCAAGCAACACTTTTTTACCGCCTTTTTATATCATTAATGGTAGTTTTAGTAATAGCCATCCCCAAATTTATACGCAACGTAATATAAAACGACGACTCGGCTTTTACTCTAGCTTAGAGCTGAGATCTGAAGCTCGAGCCCGACCTGACTCTCGGGTCGGGCCTAAAATGTCAATCATTACGTTCCGGTCGGGCTTCTCTATCGCTGACTTTTTTTTCAAATGAGGCGTTTTGGCCACGAGAGACCGTGGTCTGCAAAAAACAGAAGTTGCCTTGTCAACACGACACATACTGTACTAAACTCTAGCAATGGCTCTCGAATAAAATATGAAATTTCCGGTTTGCTTCGGGCTCGGGCCTGCAAATCCAGTTAATTAGTTGGGCTCGGGACAGGATTAATACCCATGGGCCTGGGTCCGGCCGGGCTGGAATTTTTGGGCCCGATCTTACCTCGCTATTGATTTTTGACGTACTGTTAAACACATACTACGCATTTTCAAATTTTCCGAATATCTACAAGCAAATTCAGTCACAGCCCACGACTTTTCTTTCATTAACGATTACCTCCCCATTTGCCTGATCTCAATTTAATCCTAGATTTTTCCATTAGCGTGAGCATGCTTATTACACTCGATTACTTCAACAATGTTTATGGGACGTCTTAATGCAATTTTAATGAATTAAATTTCTTGATTTCGACTTCACAAATTGAGATGCGTCCATTTACAAAGAAAATAGCGACTTTATTCCTAGCAGCTTCCAAGCACTTACTTAATTTATTTCTTTTAGACCGTTTCTTATAAGTCCATGTCAAGTCAAGTCCATGCTTCCGCAAACAAATAACTGGCTAAATAATCCCATACCCGACCTGGACTGATAACCGGACGAGAGGCCGTGGTTTTCCATATGATTAAGTCGTCCCATCGGCTTTCCTCTCCCCTGGATGAATATGTAAATCCTACCCTATCCTATTTTCAGATACAAATTTCGGGCTAACGATGGCAACTCAACACTTAAATCAGATATGGTTTTCGACGCTTCGTGGTAAAGTTGTGAACCCTTAGTACGTATCCCACGTATTTACGATACTATAGCCAGAACGAACCCAAGACATTAGCTTTCATTAACCGATTACTTTTACCTCCATTTGTCTGATCTGTGACGAATAAGCGTGACGAATGCTAATTATACCCGACTACTGGAACAAGTATTATATACGTACACCAGCTGTTCCCAACCAAATGGGCCACGAGAACAGTAGGGGGAGCAGTGGCGTATCTATTTAAAATGGCGCCCATGGCAAAGTCTAAAAATGCGCCCCCTTTATAGTTGTTTGACAGTTTATATTGATTATTAATGAATTAGGATACTTCAATGTTATTATTTGAGTAAAAATACGAGTTTTAGTTATTTCCAATTTGAAATTATTTCATTGAAACGTTTTAATATTAATACTTTTCGCCGTTTTTGCGCCCCTCTTCAAACGGCGCCCATGGCACGAGCCATGGCTGCCACACCCTAGATACGCCACTGGGAAAGAGCCACCATGCTATGTGCAAAACTGATTTCACTTTTCCCCTTGCGAGGAAACTCCACGTTCTTCTAGTTTCATTGCATGATAAGGTAACACAAAGTGTTTTTATTTTGTTGAGCATGAATTGTTTGAACATAATGGGATTTGGAATCAACAAATCAAAATACCATTACTGAATAAATATCACTGAAATGATAAATAGGAGAAATGAGTTCTAAAAGCCCGGGAAAAGGTTCACGAGCCTTAAAATGTTGGAAACCATCGACTTACACGATTCTAGTACACATATTTCAGAAAACAATATCAAATACCACGCATGGATTCCATTAACCGATTACTTTTACCTCCATTTGCCTGATCTGAAACTAATCCTAGACTTTACCTTTAGCGTGCGTAGGCTAATTACACTCACTACTGGAACAATTATACAACGCACCGCTCAATGACGATCGATGTCTGAATTGCCTTCACTTCGTTAGAAAGTTAAGACGACTTCAGGCCTATACGCATGGCTGCCATCACGTCCTTATTTCTAAGATTTGTCTTTATTTTGACATGTGTCCTTATTTTTGGGCAGTGGTTCAAATACCAGGCAGTTAGATTGGTCAATTCGAATGATTGATTTGCTAGAAATGATATTTTACATGCTTGCGCATTCATGACGTAATAATAGCAAATAATTGACACAATGACAAAACAATAGCCTACAGTCAAAGATCAGTTTGTGTAACTTGAATCAAACTACAACTCAAAAGTGAGATGAAACAGATTGTTTCTAAGAATAAAGAACTGCTGAAGCAAATCCTCCCTAGTGTAATAAAGTATTAGACACTGGTCGCGCCGGAATGAATACATTTTGTTTATTACATTTCGTTCTTTGTCATCTTATTATTATGTTTTTCTGATGTCCTTACTTTTGGGTTCATATCGATGGCAGCCCTGCATATACGCCTTGAAACTCTGCACGAGTGTGTGTAAATACAAGCTACCACTGTTAGGAGAGAAGCTACAACAATCGTTGTTGTTATTTGGATTGTAAAAAAAATCGCTCGAAAATATTCAGTACTCGAAAATGGATAAAGCCGTCAGAAGGTTAATACTTTGGTTTTATTCTAAGTCATACGGGTCCCGATTTCACCAAAAA